TTATTATTATTATTATTATTATACATGTACATTTTACACGTATTTTCATATCTCCATTTTTACGTAGGTGACATGTAGCCTAACGAATACAAAGAGACATCATGGAAAAAGTTAAGACATGAGAGTTTGCAATTTGCAGTGAAGTTTGCTACTTCGGTGGAGACTCTTATGTTTGGCATTCACAATCAGATAGACAATGGCATACACAATGAGATAGACAATAGAAGGTAAGTGTTATCACCCAAATCTAGCAGTGTCTTTGATTGGTTTACCTGGCCTGCCATGAGCAACATTTAGGCCAGAAACGGGAAAAAGATTGAGTTACCAACCACATCCAGTCGAGGTAGAAATTGGTCATGAATGTGATCAATCATTAATTAAACTTCGTGAATGCTATTCGCAAGATGCAAACATATCAGCAAAATAGTAAGTCGAGTAAACAATTGTCTGGGCTGAAGAGAACACTATGATATGTACAAAGTCAAAGCTATAAACCAATGTGGATTAAAACTGGTTTTTGGTTGAGGGATTAACTATGTCTACACTTTGTTGAACAAAACTGAGCCATAATAAATTCGTATAGATATCTGGATTACTTCACCATCATTTGCAAACGTTTTCTTAAGAAGTGACAAAATAACACGCCAAATACTGCCACTGGAACCTGAAAATGGCGTGGGGTTGGTTTATGTCTGGACTGTGATTGACTTACATGCGTGCTGAGACTGGCTCTTGTCGGGCTTTAACTGGCTCATATACGGGCTGCAAGAGCTAGCTATGTTCCGCACTGTGATTAGCTCCATCCATTTCCTGTCCGCGTTCTGATTGGCTCCATCCATTTTCTGTCCGCTTCCGTGGATGGTTAGCGGGTGCTCTGGTGTGGTTTGCTTCTTCTTTCCTATCAAACATCTATCATCCTTTTCTCCCCTTCTTCTTTTTTATGTTTTTTACTCTCTTGCAACAGCTCTAATCTTCTGGCGCTCATATGACCTTATGAAGTTGCGAGCTCCGTAAAACCTCTACTAAAACTAAACTGATTGTTCTCTGTCCTGTTCGCGCTGTGATTGGCTCCATTCATTTTCTGATTGTTTCCTGTCCTGTCCGCGCTCTGATTGGTTCCATAGATGTTCTGATTGGTTCCTGTCCTGTCCACGCTCTGATTGTTTCCTGTCCTGTCCACGCTCTGATTGTTTCCTGTCCTGTCCGCGCTCTGATTGGTTCCTGTCCAGGCTGTGCTTGGTTCCTGTCCAAGCTGCGATTTGGATCCTGTCGAGCTGTGATTGCCTCGTGTACAGAATGTGCTTATCTCATGTCCAGGCTATGACTAGCTTATATCCGAGCTACAAATGGCTTATATCCAAATTGGGATTGGCTCCCATCCTGACTGTGACTTGGTTCATCACCAGGTTGTGATTGGCCCCTGTCAAGTCTCTGATATGTTCCTCTCCATGCTGTGAATGGCTCCCGTTTGGACTATAATTGGTTCCTGACGGGGCTGTGACTGACTCCTCCAGAGTTCTGATTGGTTCCTGCCCTGTCTGGGATGTGCTTGGTTTCTTGTCCGAGCTGTGATTGGCTCCTGTCCGCGATGTACTTGACAAATATCCGAGGCGTGATTGGTTTATATTTGACCTGTGATTGGCTTATTCTAGAGCTGTAATTGATTTATATCCAAGCTGTGATAGGCTCCTGTTTGAGTTGCGACTGATTTATACCCGACTAGTGATTAGCTTACTTCCAAACTGAGTTTGAATCATGTCCAGGCAGTGGTTGATTCCTATCCGGGTTGTGTTTGGGTACTGTTCGAGCCTACCAGGAACAAAACTTTTATTACGCTTATCCAATTACATCTAGCATGGGCTCAAACTGGCTATCTGCATGGCCAATCACTCGAGAGAATGCGTCCCAGAAATTATTTTTGATGTTCTCGTCCTCGAGCTCTGCCTGGGGTGGGTACTCCGTGTATTTGTTATCTCTAATCACCAGAAGGAGGTCCCGAAACAAAAGCCGGTAGTCCATGGGCGTACGCAGTAACAGGTGCAGCACTGAACGCTTCTCAAAGACCATCTCACAAAGCGCCATCTGGACACCATACTCGGAATACTCACCAGAGAGGAAATCAGGAGAGATCACAGGTACAGTGAGTGTACTACTTTGCACAGCACAGGTTATGTTTGTTGTGATAAAGGTACCGGGCATGAAATCTCTGTCTTCGACACAAAGTTTGTGACCTCGTTTTGTCTCCAACTCTGTCAGCATGGTTTCTAAAACAAAATCTCGATCTTCTTCGGCGTATAGTATGAAAGCATCGAACTTGCAGCGTGATGTTTGCGTAATGGGATGAAACCCAAACCATTTGGAAACTGTCACTTTGTGCAAGTATCGTAGCCTCCAGCGGTACCGATACACCGAGAGGAAACCCAAGAAAAAAACAAATACTGAGGCACATGCAGCAGATATTAAGACTATATTGAACTTAGGGATGCAGCGTCTCTTCATAAACAGCACACGTTGACTCAGGTTTCCTATGGTGACATAGTCATTGGTTTCAAATCGGCAAACGAGGAAGTCTTCACCAGTTAGAAGGACGTTGGTCGTTGCTAACCATGACAATATTTCGATACCTTTACAAGTACAAGGGAGTGGGTTTTTTCGCAAATCTAAACTCACTGGATGGTGGAGGGCTATTGAGTCCAGACCGTCTCGTGTTGTTCTACCGATCCACGAGATAGAGTTTTTACTGGCGTCGATTACTTTCAAGTGTGGCATACTGGATACGCTAAAATTCAAACTCTGAAGTTTGTTATCTGATAACATCAACTCATTAAGACTCTTCAAACCGTTAAAAAAGTTTGGGGGCAACCTATAAATTAAATTCATGGACAAATCTAGCCTTCGAACACGAACAAGCTGTTTGAATACTTTGCCCTGTTCGTCGTTAGCAAATTGTGGCCCCAATATATTGTTGCGAATATTCAGTAGTTTAAGAGAATTGTTATCAGGAAAAAAGTCTTCACGAATGTATTTGCAATAATTTCCCTCTAGGGATACGTTTCTTGCACTCCTCTGTAACATACCTTCACCCCATTCAGACAAAAAACTGTGAGAAAAATCTATCTCTTTTAATCCTGCCTCCACCCTTTGATATAAAACTATTTCTCCATAAAGTATAAACTGTGGGGTCCAAAGAATTTGCAGATTTGGGGGCAACACAATCTTCTTAACTATGTTTGTAGGTAGAGTAGTGCAGCCGTCTTCGTTATTCGCCTCTGGTGTTTTTTCCTCAGCATCGATCCTGTCTCCCACAGCCGAAAGATTCCTTGTTTGGTTTTCATTTGGTAGTTCAGTGTGCACAGGTGTCTTCGACGTTGCAGGATATTCATATTCGTTCATTAATCCATTCGGATACGTCTCTGAATCCATATTATCTGAAGGTATAAATCTACATGCCTCGCCATCTTTGTTTTTCTGTGACTTCGGTGGTGGCGTTCTTACTCTCCCAATGTTTTGAGAAGTTAAGTCAACTTTCGTAAGATTCTTCAAACTGGCCAAATATGAAATGTCAAAAGTGGCTAGGGAGAATTTGTTGTTCCTTAGTATTAATGTCTTTAATGTTTTTGGGAGAGCCTCGTAGAAGTTGCCCTCGATCATAGCGAGGAAATTATCCGACAAATCCAGCAGTTCAAGCCTCATGTTCTTGATAAATACCGAATCCTCCTCAGTTATGTACCTACATGGGTAACCGCCATGACTAACTAGGTGAACTAGCTCCAGGGACTTCAGTGAAGAATTCTGTAAACTAGACAAAGAGCGTAAAGCTTCACTGACTCCAAGGTTCCTGGAGTAAGAGATTTTTAAACTTTGTAACTTGGACATGTTGACAAAAGCATCACTGTCAATCTGTGCCATCAAGCAGTGTTGTATATTTAGTGATGCCAAGTACGGTGTGTTCTCAAAAAATGAAGAGGTTAGATTCCTAATATTACAAAGAACATTCTCTCCAACACCAATTTTAAGAGACTTAAGATGTTTAAGATTCTTAACTTGCGGACCCAATGCTACACCTCTGGCCAAACCGTCCATGTTTAACTCGTGCAGACTTGTTAAATAGCCAAGAGCGTCATTTGGGTACACCTGAGACAGAGCACTGTTACCTACAATGTTTAAAACCCTGAGAGATTTTAAATTCAGGAAAACCCTGGGAGCCATATGAGATTGGTAGTAACTGAATTTCGGATTGTTATTAAGAAGTAACGTACTCAATTTTGGTACGCTGTCAAACGTGCCGAGTTCTATATATTGGATGTCATTCCAAGATAAGTCTAGTATGTACAGCTTGTCTAGTCCAGAGAATGTGAAATTTGTTAGCGATTGAATCTTGTTATGATTCAAAGACAGCCGCTCCAAAGAAGTTAATATTCTGAAAGCATTCTCTCCAATTGAACGAAAGTGGTTCTTGCCCAATAGCAAAACCAACAAAGAAGGAGACGCAGTTAATGAAGAAGGTTCAACAACTGAAGTCAGCTTATTTTCTTGAGCATCAACAGAAGCAAGCCCAGGATATTCAAGCAAAACTGACAGGTTGAGACAACGTAGCCTATTTTTAGCTAATTTCAAGTGACGAATGTTCTTCGGAAGGTCCTGCGGAATGTGGTGTAGACGAAGAGAAGAACAGTTGGCATAAATGTGAAGACCATGCTCTACACGATGACAGACACAATATGTTGACACGCTGCAATTGTACGCGCCAAGGTGAGTAGATGCGTCACGATCTAGCAATGACTCGTATTCCCAGGCCAAACTTGGGTCATCATTTCCTTCACTGCTGCTATCATAACTCGTCAGTTGCTGGGACATATCGACGATGCCATTCCCTCTGAATCTCCGGTATGTTCCTGACGTCTGCTTGGACGATATTTCTGGATCATCAGGGTCGCGTCTATATTCACCTCCGGGCATGGCTCGGGGGGTAAGAGATGATTCCTTTTCCCAGTCGTACTGGTGGCTTGTAAAGGCTTTGTTGGTCCATGCGTCGTTTTCAGCCTCAGCAGCTGTGGGCAAACTGGCGGTTTGTACAAAATCTTTCCACAGGACAGCAAGTCCCAGAAAAATAACAACCTTTGGTCCTGTCTTCATTTTCTGCAAAGGGAAACAAATTACAAAATTGATGTTACAGTGGAAACCATTTATAAAAGGACCGGTAATAACATGAATCCGGTAATAAAAGGATTTTTTCTTAAAGAATCCCCGCTTTTTTCTTCTTCTTTACCTCTATTAAATTTGATCGGCAATAACAGGAAAACAGAGATTTCTTCAAATACGGTACATGTAGCGGGGGTTTTTTTATGCGGTCATGATTTCTTTATTTTCTGCAGCCAACACATGACCTAGCTTATGGGTCTGTTTCGCAAATAGGATAAACGGTGAAAAGAAGGGGAGTGGGAGGAGATTGGCTACTTACCCAGGATTGAACAAAGAGTCTGTTTACCTCCTTGAGAACGCACATTTTGGTCAGTAAACAACGCATACAAATGCTGTTTTGTGACATAACTTCAATACACAAGCAGATGTTTTGATTTTGTTTTCTTCATGTATCTGAAACTTTAAAAAGCGTGCAACAGCATGTGTGCTATTGAATATACAAAACTCTTGTTTCTGATTGCGTATATTGGTTTGAAATGTGTCAAAGTGTTGCCTTTGCTGTGCTGCTTATCGGACGTATCTGCTACGTCCTCAAAGAGTTACAATAGAACTAGCCCCGCGCGCAGAGTCTGTCCTGGCCTGTGGATAACAACGGGCCCTCGAATAAAAATGCTGGGTTTGTAAATGCCCTTTGTACATTTCTTAGATTCTGTCTGATTTAACAGGGATCTGTTATAACAGGGATTTTTCTCTGGTCCGAGGATCCCTGTTATATCAGGTTTATTCTGTATTCACAATACAACGTGCAAAAAAGGCTATATATAAATTTATGTAATACCGTTAAAAAATTGTCTAACAGGTTTTAATATCCTTTATGCCCCCCTCTGTCAATCTGTCTGTCTGTCTGTCTGTCTGTCTGTCTGTCTGTCTGTCTGTCTGTCTGTCTGTCTGTCTGTCTGTCTGTCTGTCTGTCTGTCGCTTATTATAAAACGTAAGAGATTGAGACAGATTAAGAAAAACAACAGACAGACAGACAGACAGACAGACAGACAGACAGTCGAAAGAGACTAAAGAGAGAGAGGGGGTGGGGGTGGGGATGGGATCGGATGTAATTGTCGACCTTTGCATCGGCACAATTTAGATAATGTGGGTGGTGAGCTGTTTCAACCCTTCTAATAAGGACCGACCCGAGACCGAATGGGACATACAGACTTCAACATAAGTTAAGGACTACCTTGACAGACTAGACAGTCCCCATTTGTAAGAAATCCGGAAAAAAGACAGCAATGTTTCAAAATGTTTTGCTCTGAAAGTGTTAATTATATTAATGGGTTACCAATGCGTACTGCAAAAACACCACGTGCAGCACGGAAATCCTCAGGGAATTTTAGCCATAATGCTGTTCTTTATCGACTTGTGTGCAACACCACTAGTCCCTTTCGTTAATCCGTTTTAACTGCGCAACGTGTTAGAGACATTTGGCTATGCACATTCAATTGTATGTGCATAAAATAGTTGTTTGAGAGGGGGATCCATTTACTGGTGGTATTTAATTAGGCGTGAGAGCTAATTAAAAATCACTCATTTAGCTATTTGACCAAAACCGCGCACCATACAAAAAACCCCAGCCTCCCATGCCGGATGTAGCTGACAACACTTTTCCCCGCTGAAAACTCAAGCTTGAAAACTCAACACACACACGTTTCCGGTAGACCTACGCTTCGTGGACAAGTTCACAGAGCCGCCGTTTTACTACGATTATAAGGCGCAACTGTTGTGAATAGTTTTTTAATTTAGCCAAAAGACTAAAGCAGAGAAATTAAATACCATCATAAGCGCTATAGAGTAGAGAAATTAAAAACAATCACTGCAATAACAACGCTAACGCTAGCAAAATAGGCGAAAAAGTATGGTGCTCCATTGTGACCACAACCTACTAATTCTTTGGGTACACCAAATGCAGGATATGGCGATTGATGACAAAACAGCCGTAATATTCCGTTCTTAGACTTTGTTTGAGAGTGAGTGTTTTAATTTTTTGTGGAATAAGTGTTACTGTTCCATGAATGGGTTGGATAAGCGAAAGAATAACATCTTTTACATACAGTAATGGACATGATGACTGAGCATCATCGTAATGCACGTTAAGTATGGCTTTGAGTCGAGCAAATCCAACTTATAATTTCTTCACTTGATGTACATAAACTATGCATACAAATTAAGAAAACAACTCAAAAAGGAACTTTATCAACAAACTATTTCATGAGTCAACGATAAAAAAAGCACATGTCCATATCACTTTTTTCTTCATTAAGCACCATGGCACGACAATTCACTCGCCTTGAAAGTGACGTTGTATTTCCTGAAACGAGAGGAGAGGATGAGAGAAGATGTCAAGAAATCAACTGGGACCTTTGTGCTTTATGCTAGACTGATACTAAAGAACACTCGATTTGCTATACTAGGGGGAGGGTGCTGGATATGTCTATGTGACAGAAAGACTAAAAAAGTGAAGAATTTCAGTTAACAAACTCAAGGTAAAACGTAAACAGAGTTGGAGAGGTCAGAACTGGAAGAAAAGCCGACCTGCTGATCTGCCTCATGTCCCTGGGCACTCAAACGAAGAAAACAACTTCTTCGGTCCCAGCAATCAACTCCTCCAGTCAGGAGCGTTGAGGTTCTAATGGAGGTTGACGAATTTGGTGCAGATCCATCTCTGCACAATTCCAGACGATCTGCTCGACGTCACAGACCTGGGGCAGGATGAGTTTGATCTGAAGTGTTTATATGCAGACTTCACATCAGAACCTGACCTTGAAACAGCTGCAGAGATTCTGCAAGTGCCGACTGTTGAAGAAAGCTGGATGGTTGAAGCCAAGGTACTTGACATGGCTGCAATTGTCCAGATGCATGGAACAAAGCTTTCAGAGACATTACTTGAGTACTTAACCAGCATTTTCGAACCCTACATTCAAAGGCAGTTATAGGGTGTGAGAAGAGTTGATGTGGCATGGGATATATGTACTTCCCAGACAGCCTGGAGGCTGCTGCAAGGAAAAAGAGGGAAAAGAAAGGTACTTTAATTAATATCTCTAAAGCTGGTGTGGTCGCCGATAGCAGGGTAAACGTTAAAGAGGAACTTTCGATTGGCAGGAAAGTACATGCTGAAATGACTGGTATGTGCTATGGCAAGGTTTCCTTTTTTAAAAAGTGACCAAGCTGTCACATTCAAGGTGATGCGTAGACCCGTGCAAATCCTGAACGACAATATCTTTATATGTCATCTGAGATGTACCAGCGACTGCTTTCAATGGCCTGTGTCCGTGGTCCCCCTTGAATCTTCTTTATTCAAGTATTAGTTTTCACCTGTGGCTCCTGCCTTATTTCACGACAACGGGAGTATGAGGAAGACGGACGAATCTCTCCTGGCCAATCACATCATTAACACGTCCCAAAACATTGTTGTAAATAATGTCAACGACAAGCCTCATTATCTGGTGTATGATGGCATCCACATCCTTCATCGTCCTAACTGGATAAAGGGTGGAACAGTGGAAACATTGTGTCAGCCATTCGTCAACTGTTTGCTCCACAACAGGACGCCAGCTATTCGACTTTGTGTCGTCTTTGACAGTTATGAAACTATAACTACCAAAGCACCTGAGCAAAAGAGAAGAAAGACTAGATCTACGTACACACCACATCCAGTCGTTGATCTTCATCACAGCACAAATCTGCGGACTGACAAAGATTCATTCCCTACCAATCTTCAGAATAAGCAAGCATTGATGCGACTCTTAGGGTCGTCACTGGAAGAAAAGGACAGTTGACAGCTCTACTTTGGGGGCAAACAGATGCCAATGTAAAGGACATCACAGACTTAGGAGTCAAGTTCTTGTCATTCCTTTACTGCAGTGGACCGCAAACCTGAGCCTTACTGATCTTCGATATCAACATATCATCTCCCCAAAGTACGTGCCACTTGAACGGATGGCCCCAAAAGAGAGAGAGCTGCACAATACCAAGCCCTTAGAGTGCATCACCAGGTTAGTAAATGGCTTAATCTACGCACTGTCTTTGACGTTGTTGATTACGACTTTACTGTGAGTGACAACATTATGAATCAGGTGATAACTGACAATGCTCCGGCCCCAGATGAATTGCTACGTGAAATCCGCTGTCCGTGTAAGAGCAGCACTCCACCATGCAAATCCTGTACTTGCTGCAAGTACAACATCCCTTGCAGAATACATTGTCATTGCAGAGGACAGTATGAAAAGCTTCAGAAACGGACACAATTTAAATTGGGCCTAGTGAAGGAACCGCCGAGCTCAGTATCTTCTAGTTTACACATTGAGTGTGCCTGGCCCACGACGCGGATGGAGTGGAAGGGGACTGGCTCTCTACCAATCAACGCAAACAGACTTGTTCTTAAGTAACAAGGGTAGGAAAGACTCTATAGCTCTTCAGAGCAACCAGTCTAGAGGAAGGAAACCCATACACAGCAGAAGTCATACACTTATAACCATTACTCAAACAATGGAAGTGGGGAGTTCCAAATGTGAAATCATGAAAAGGTCTTATTTCGCCCTAATTTTACTATTTTTACTTATCTTCCCATGTTTACCAAAGAATTTTCCTGAAGCTTGGCATACCAAAGCCGAGCTGCATGCTATGATCGAACAAGGATTTATTTTTTAGGTTTTATATGATCTCACCATATCTTTTTGTTTTAAAACGTATATTATTATTATCTCAACCATGTGTTACCGCCAATAGGTAACTTAAATGTAAGTTAATTGCATTAACAACATAAATTCTGTGTTTTTCTTGTTGAGATGTTGAATTTGATACCAAACACGACCATATTTGAACTATTTTTAAGATGACCTTGACAATGACCTTGACCTTTTATAATCTTTAAATGCTAATTAAGTGATAACTATGGGGTCACTTTTAAAAATAAAAGTATTTCTGTGTTTCATTTGACTATCTCT